CCCCAAAACCCCAAAACCCCAAAACCCCAAAACCCCGGAATGTTCTTCAACACTTGAAAGAGAGAGTTAGAATTAGATGATGAATAACACAAAGTCAGGAGATAAAGCCTGCTTGATTTATATTAAGCTTCGATTTTGCTATTATCCAGAAAATTATGGCTTTAATACCTGATCCGCAAGCAAGAAGTCTCTTCTTATTCATACAGCTGAATTGCTAATCATCTCCTCAGCAAGGAGTTGAGAACTATCAATATTCTCAGCCACTAAGAATGCCAAACTATCCAAAAACAAATTCAGATTGGAAGAGATTCCAAATCCGGATTTAAACTCCCCGCCTAGTTGCTAAGCCTTCGGTGATAAAGCAGCTTTCCTAGCCAGTTCCTATCAGCTGATATATGAATAAATTTAACCTCAATGAGTACTTTCTCTTCAAATGAGATAAGGTCTAGGACCAATTTTATTTCTCCCCAAAAAATGCATCACCTGTTTTCTCGGAATCTATCATATCTGAGCGAAGAGAATCCTGGATAGAACTTTAACTTATTAATTTCTTAGTTTTTGTCGACTCTTTGGACCCCTCTAGTTCATACCAAGGTGAGCTTTTGGGAATGTTGAGAATGAAAATGAAAGTGGTTCTTCTTTCAATTCAAAATATTAACTAATCACTAATGCATCCTAAAATTTTAATTGATGGAAGGATAAAATTTAATGCCTCCATCTCAGTCTATTAGGATAGAAATACTGTGTAGATACTTTTAAGGCTTATTTCTTCATATCTGGCAGCTGTATTACTATGTTTGGTAGGCATTTTGTAGAAATAAACACTATTGGCATGGCAAAATAGCAAAATATGAGATAAAACCAAGAACAAAAGAATTATTAGCAATTAGGCCTAACAACCTCCGATATATCTCTCTGAGGCTTGCATGAGTTCTCACAACCAAAATTTCCTAATCATTGAAAGCAAACAAACAACAAAAATCATTTGATTAAGGACAAAAGAACTTCACCACTGCGATACCCATGATTGTAAAATTCCTATACTTCCATTTTCATCCTATAATTCACCCTCCGGGGTTTTGGGGTTTTGGGGTTTTGGGGTTTTGGGGTTTTGGGG